GAGAGAGAGAGAGAGAGATGTATCTTGCCCCCTACTGATGGTAAACATAGGAAATGGTGCTCTGGGCTATTGGAAATAACCTTACACAGTTGCTGCAAAATATTTTTGGGTTAGGCATTTTCTTTCATATAGTAAGCTCAACTTGAACATGAAATGAAATAAGGGATGGGATTTAGCATGGAAAGGCAAAAGCATTTGCACGTAAAAAAGACATATGCCTCTTCTGAGAATAAACGTCATTACATATTATCTTGCCCTTGCTCTTTCTAGTGAATAAACAGAATAACCTTGGCAAAAAGAATTTGTGTATGGGTGGGTGGAGTATGAAGTTAGCTATGTCTGTAATTAATTATGTTCTCTATAGGGGTTAGAGCTTACATCTTCAAGAAGATACTTAGACAACGTGAAAGGTTCTTGCTCACAAATGCCTCCATATTCTTCAAGAATTGAGACCAGATCCTGTGAAGAAATAAATGGCACTTCACCAGATAATCGACAATGGAAACTATACAAAGTTGAATGGAAAAGGCTTCACAATTAGTTGTGAAAACGACAAATCAGAGTGATAACTACCATAAAGAGAGAATTCCCTATTGCACATGTAATACTTCTAAAGAAAGCTTAAATGAATAAAGACCATTGTGCACTTATCAGCTTCAAATGATCTCAAAAGCACATCATCAACAGTGGAAATTAACCAGTGAATAAGACTCACAGGAAATATCTCTTGTAAAAAGCAAGAGATAGTGACTAACCAGTGAATAATACTCACAGGAAATATCTCTTGTAAAAAGCAAGAGATAGTGACTTGTGTGGTGTGTGCACGAGAGAGAGAGAGAGATAGAGAGAGAGTCGATCAATGTAGTAATCCTCATACATTAGAATCCATACCTGCCCTGTTAACATTTCATACTCCATTAGCTGCTCTACAATAACTTCTAGCACCCTACGGTTCTTTTGTAGCATTTCCTTTGCTTTGTCATATGCTGAATTGTATATCTATGGAAGAAGACAATTATACAATGTCATTAGCACTAACAATTGATTATGCAGGATCACAAACAAAAATTGTTTCTATATCAAGTGCACCTGGAAGGCAAATATTATTGGGTTTGGCTCATATCATTAGAATGAAATAAATAATATATGGACCTTAGAATATCAGAGTTCATACAAAAAAAAAAAAAGTGTATTAACTTAAGGAAAATTGTTTCATGCGGGCTGGACCACATTACTACAATATGTGGTCCCCAAGGTATAAATCATCCATCTTAAAGATGAATGCAAATAGGTGGTCCATCTAAAAACAATTGAAACTAATGTTCCAATGATTTCTTCAAAAAATTATTATTTTCATTTCTTAAAATTTATTTATTTTTTCATATTCATCGTCTCTATGTTAAAGATTACATGTCCTTAAAAATTGGGTCCGAAAGTCCATCTCAAAAATAGATTTTTAATAGTCGACTCATTTCTACATGGACTCATAGAAACTGTGACCATAACTTGACAGTATCCACCCAATTACTGAAACATAAGAAAACAACATTGCATACCTTCTCAACTTGGCTTGCAATCTTGTATTCATGTTTGTCTCCCATACTCAGAGCACCAATCTGTGGAAATCAGATAACATATATAAAAATAAAATAAAAAATTGAATTATAAGAGCAAACAAGCTCATTTGTTAAGGTATTTTCCACTCTGTAGCAATGAAATAACATATAAAAAAAATTGAATTATAAGTGAAAACAAGCTCATTCATTAAGGGATATTAACAGCTATACATGCAAGACTATAGAAAAATAGGCCACCAGCAAATAACTGAAAAGTGGATGACATGTGCAACTACTAACAACACATGTCATGTTCTAACATAAGGGACAAAGTTACATAGAAGACTAAAATTGATTCTTGAATATCTAATCAATAAGCCAAACTTAAAATATGCTTATGAATTGCAGACCAAAATTTAATTTAAGACCTACTCAAATTGGTGGGAAATATTATTTGACACAGCCGTGCACATCACTATGCAAGATATTCCTTAAATAGTATGTTTCGTCGACATAATAAATTGCTAGCAACCACCCAGAGTACATTTTGAGAAATGGAACTTGTTTCACTTAAGAATTTATTGGATTGAACCAGAGATGAGCCATTTAGTGCCTCTGGCATAGTGGTTGTTTCAATGGAGGGTTTTGGTTACACACCAAAAGAAACGAACTGGACAAGGTTTCAACAACTGGGTTTACTTGCAATTTTTTTAAAAAAGAATCATAACAACAATAGAAATGAAAATAAGGCATGAACTTGAAAAGCTAACAGTATTAGTCAAGCAAATAATTGTCTATTTTTCACTTATCAAAAGCTTAAATATATAAGAAATACCGAATTGCTACGGAAGTAGATTGCAGGACTATCATCCGGACGCCATCCATACTGGATTACCATTCGCGTAGCTATCTGCAATAGTTCAAACGCCACAAATCTCAATAATGTCACTAATTAACAGAAGCTAGTGGTAAAAAACTGAGAAATTAAGCATAGAGACATGAAAACTTAAAATAACTACATCTTGTGCTTGTTGTATTTCAGAAGATGACAAATAATTTTCTTCCCCAAATGGAAGTAGCAATTGAGAAGCAATATAAGAACCAAAACAGAAAACCAGCTTCTTCTCAAGGTATGATCGCATCTCAACATTCCCATTCTGTCTGCTTGCGTCCCTTGCCTTTGTAATCTTGGTACAACCAATTCCCTACAAATATTTTGTAACTACTGCAAATTAATGTATATTTAGTGAGGCATTGTATTTCGGAAATAAAAGAACTAAGAAATATAGCCCTCGTCACAACTGAATAGCAAATTTTAGAAAATGACAAGGACGAACCTCCCATGAAGTTGGCTCAAGCCAGATATTATCTACGGTGTCAAAGTTTGGTAGAAGATGCGCAATGAGACCTCGACCAGCAGCCCACACGGCATGTGGAAATTTTGTCTCCCATGTCCACTTGCAAACCACCAAAGTACATGTCAACATTTAAAAAGCCAAACACTTGCACAATATCCTTCAACTCATTGCCCAGAGAGGAAAATACAAAAAAGAAAAACGAAAAAGAAGAAGAAATAAAAAAAAGAACAACTCATACTTAAGTTAAGCAGATAACACCCAGAAATATATGCTTTACAGGAGAAGGAACATTTTGAGCAATTTATGCCTTGTATGTGATCTTAAACTCCTTTCTCTACAATTACTAAAATGTTTTCCGGAATGCAAAAAGGATAAAGTTCAAGAAACCATAAAATTATCATATTAATAGAAACTATGAATGGCAAGAATATAAAATTATCGAGAATGACTTCCACGGGGTTGCACCAAATAGTATTCATGTATTGCACAAGGTCATGTACATAACACGAGAAAAAAAAAGCAGGAAAGTAAGACTATAGTTGTCAAGTTTAATAGTTCTGTTCATATTGATGTTCTTACATCTAGAGGAGGGCTCAAAAGTTCGATCCCGTTACTGATCTGTCCATATGGTTCCATTAGATAAACAACAGACTGAATGTCCTCCTTTGTCAAAACCAATCCAAGATGATTTACAAGCCATCTGCTCATCCATCTCAAAGGTTTGGTTGTCCTTAACCATTGTGGAATGATGCCGCTAAATGTCTAGAAAATGCAACCACAGATGTCAGAGAAAAGAAAAGCAGAACGTTACAGAAAATGATTAAAATAAAATTAGTAACAAGGACAATTACCATGGAATGCTTTTGTGCAGGAGAAAATGATAAATACGACAAATAAGGAAATCTCCTAAAAAATTAAAAAGAACGAGTACCTACTTCCATTCATGCGTGCAACTCTCTATATCAAAAGAATATATATTCTCTAAAGTCATAATATTTAACAGCTCACTGACAAAACTTTCTCCAGAAGGAACAACTCATGTCTAGAACACTAGGGTGCAAGTAAACTTTATCATTCAAACTCCAAACACGAGCTGTTAAAGGTTAAGGGGATGGACAACAACAATGTTTCCTTAGCAAAACATATCTGGAGTCAAGGTTGGTACAATAATTCCTAGTAATCATTTCTTTTTATTTCTGGAGTCCATGTTAAAAGAAGCGATTTCGGTCATTCTCTTTTTGAAATGGTTGACAAGTATGTATTTATGTACTTTGTTTACACTTACAAAAGATATTCACAAGAGGTGTGATGTATAAAATCCAACCCACATGTCTAGTGCTCTACAAGGTGTAAGCTGGTCCCAGACCATTAAAAATCAAGGGGACCAGGTGACATGGTGAACTTGTGGACAAAAATGGGTCACTGGAGATATGAAAAGAAGATATGCCATTATGAACAGGCATGGAAAAAGACTTCTGCCAATATATTACACAAAAAGAAGCCTATATCTATTGATGATAATATATGCAGGACGCTATATAAATTACAGACCTTCAAGACAACAGTTCTCACAGGATTAGGTTTGGTATATACACTTAAATTTTAAATATGAATTTTAAGGGAAGTTTTGGTGTGATATTCTATTATCTCCATGAGGGAAGTATATCATGAGTAATTTCATAGGGATCAGTTTTCATCATTATTAGGCTGAGTTTATGAGAAAAACACCAACCTCACCCCCAAATAATGGAAATGAGAGGATTGGACTTCAGTTCATTGCAACTAAGACGACAATGCCATCAATATCTGGCCTAAGAATAGTCATCCACTCAACTTAAGCACCTGAACTCGAGTGTTAAAAGCAAAGTTCTATAATGCCAAAGCATTTCACACAAAGCATTAAGGGCATCCAAGAGGTCGTGAACATGAAAGCCAATCGACAAATAGCTTCTCATTAGGCATTGATTTCTGAACAAAGAAAAGAGCTAAATTCCTCCAAATACTTCTCCCAGGCTTCCAGTTGAGTTCATAATAGCATCATCATCTTTGTTCTAATTGATAAGCCTTGCAGATGCACCTACATGATATTTCATTTCATGGAACTCAAACCATCGAGGCTTAGCTTCCTAAAGCAGATCATCATTTTTGTGAATTTCGTTTTGGGTCATTAGTAGGTAAACATCCTCTGTATCTTCGTGCACACTCTTCTCCTTTCAGTGCAACGTATGGAACATCTAGTACAGATCTTTGGCACAATCGACTGGGACAAACTTTTCCTTCAAACATGATTTCATCTTCCTCTAGGTCGAGATCTCCTCCACTCTGCACAAGCAACTTTCCTGCAATCACTACCACGAGATGAGGGCATGCCCCTTCACCCAGGTGGCTACAAACTTCATCTTCTTCTGCTTGCATAGCTCCTTCCACTCGAAAAACATCTCGACGCTGGCAAGCCAATCTAAGAAGTCATCTGGTTGTAGCCAACCAAAGAACTCAAGCACAGCTACCCAGATGCTTCTATCCACTGCTTCCAAGGCCCGCACTAAACGCTCCTCAAGGCACAGGTCGGGGTCCATCCCCTCGTTAGGAAGCAGAGATTCATCCCTCCCCTGGTTATGGAAAGGGTTCTCTTCCCAGGCTCTGATTTATTACTCACATGGACAACCAAACCTTGCTTGAAACGAGTTTGGAACACCTCATGCACCAGTTCCTCAAGTCACCTCAACAGGTCATCGAAATCCTCCCTCATAGGCCCAAAAGCACCAACACGGCTGTGACCTCCATGAGCTCCTCTAGCGGCCATCATGTATAGTTGCAGCATCGAATGTGCCTTGGCAGTTGAACTGCTTTAGTACTAATTGATGAAGGTTTGATCCTGCAAACGGAAAACAACAGAAAACAGCTAATGTATCTTGCAAACTCCATATTTATATCCTTAACCCTTGGCAAACCCTAAGAATACAACTCAAAACTGATCTCATCCCTATATCACAACCTACTTATATCCTCAACCCAAGCCAAATCACAATTTAGACCATCCATTACAAAATCTAAGTAAAACCTATAAACGAAAAGCAAGAAAGCGGGAAAAGACAATCTAGTCCAAAATGCCCAAAAAAATGAAACTAGCCTAATTTTTCTTTTCACACTTTGAAGACCATTTTCGGGCTTTCTTGACAAAATCGATTTCCACAACAGGCAGAGCAACATAGAGCTCTGAAAGAACTCCCAGCGTAGTATCAATTACACCCTATTCTGAGCTAAAAGCAAAAAGTAATGCACTATTGAAGGCACGCTGCTCACAAAACCGCCTATATTAGAATCTATAAAGCATCATGCCCGATATGCATGATCATACATATATCCCGTTCTACCAAGCTCAATGTGTTCGAGTATATCCATAAAACATCCCAACTTACCTTCTGGACTGTAGAGACTTTACCATGTCAATTCCACTAACCTATGCACTGAAAGCATGGTTTTAGAAAGTGTAAGGCAAATAAGAGGAGGCGCTAGATGTCATGCAAGGCATGCACCCCTGAGGGATTGAAAACACATGCCTTAAAATAATGAATCTAATACAAAGCACATTAACGACTCACAAATAGCATAAACATTACTTAAAAAAAAATAGTAAACATATTATGAAGTTTTAACAGGATTTCATATTTCCACTTCAAAAAAAAAAAAAGGATTTCATATTTCCAAAAATTATGCATTAGAAAACCAAATTCTACACAGAGAAGTGTAAAACAAAAAGGAAAGATCAAATTTCACATCATTACCGCAATCCAGCTAACGTAGGTCATCAATTCATCTGCATCAAGAACTTTATTCCTAAAAGCATTAGCTTCTAGAGCCATGGGAACAAGCTTCAGTTCCATGGGGCGCAGAAGTGACGTCTTCTCAGCAACCTGCATGCGACATTGAAACTTGGTATCAATTATTGTTATTTTTTTTGGATATCAATTTTTTTTCCTTTGATAGTTGATAGAATCAACAAAAGCGAAAACAGAGAATAAACATGAATAAGGCAACATTGTTAATGCAAAACTACTAAATCACTAGCTAATCACAAGATTTGTATGATCCCAAGATAACGAGAAAAAGAAACTTGACGCCACATACAAAAACTTAGAAACATACCTAAGTAGTTTTCACGATCAGTCAAGAAAATGAACTAAAACCTACAGGATCAAGGATCAATATTCACATATATTAGGAGATTCAAATTGTTAAGGTCATTTTCTCAACAAATTACAAGCTATTACACAATGTGTCATGGGTTCCAACTTCTTTAATGTTGGCAGGTCAGAAAAAACAAATCAGAGCTGTAGTGTCTATTTGAGGTTCTCTAGGGGATGTTTTGGGTTTCTCAAACAAGCCCTCTTCCCACCTCGTTTCATATTCTCGAAAGAAGCAATCCCAAAAACCTGCATTTGGGAGTAATTTGAGAACTAGATATCTAATATTTTTGTAGGCCTAAATAGAAAAATCGATCTTAGATCTTCACTATAAGAGGTCCTGAATTACTCAGACATTAATGAAAGCATTGCAAGGATAATTTGTATATCAATAAAGGGTAGGCAATAGTTCATTTCTTTAATCACCTTTTTCCAGTCCACAAAATCAATAAGGTCATGGTCCATTGTGTCTTTTGCCGCTAGGTGTAAAATTTTCTCCCTTTCAACTTGAGTTGGTCTTTGGAGATGTAATACCCTGTCCATGCGCCCAGGCCGTCGTAAGGCCTCATCAATTTGCTTAAGATTTCTCGTGGTGGCAATCAAAACAACCCCATCTTGTTTCTCAAACCTGTTCAACACGCATTACAAGTGATGATAAGCATGTGGCATACATACTAAAATTTCGTTGTAATGTATAACTAAACAAGAACCCAAGTAAATAATCTACTAAAAGGGTAAGCATACAGAATGTTTTTATCATACTGTCGGTACTTGATCAACTTATCTACTCACATAGGCAAAGTCAAGAAAATATCACTTCCCACTATTATTAATAAAACCCAAAGAAACAAGCTCAAAGACCTCAAAAAAGGGAAAGTAAAAACTACGAATAAAAAATCAGATAAAGAAAATGGAAGATAGAATGAGTGAAAAAACATATCAGATAGTTGATTCATACATAATCTAATGTAGGAAAGTTGATAGATAACAATAATATCCGTAAACTTCAGGCCAAGCACAAATAACAAACAAAAGAAGCCTCTTCGAACCCTGCTAGGGTTTCAAAAGCCTGGGGATTTCTTTCTCTTTTTTTAGAAACAAATCACTTGAACTGCCCATAAAGACCCCATGTCATCATCATCATCAGAGCCTTTTCCCAACCATTTGGGGTCGGCTACACAAATCACGGTCCGCAATTTTGTTCTAGCTAGGGTCATACCCCCAGTGAGGCCATAAGTCCCCATATCTTTTCTCACTACTTCTAACCATATCCTTTTGCGCCTACCTCTTGCCCTTTTCGCACCTTCCGCTTATATGAACTCGCACCTCCTATCAAGTGTTGTACTGGGTCTGCGCTGCACATAGCCAACCCATAAAGGCCCCATGTACCTCTATTTATATTTTACTTAAGATACAATGTCCAAAATAGCCCTAGCTAGAAACAAAATTGACTAATGAGTCCCAACTTAATTAACAAATTTGAAATAACAACTTTACCCCTGATAAAACAAAATGTTCTATAAAAACTCCAAGTACTTTTCTAAACAACTCCTAGAAATCCAAAAAATATAAAAAAAAAATCTAGAATCCAAAAAAAAACATAAAACCTTAAGAATAAACCCTAAAAATAAAATTAAAATATACAACCTCTGAAATTAAATAAAAATTAATAATGAAAACAATTTTGCCTTGGATCAATTTTCCAAGGTTGGAGAAAACTCGTCCTCAAGTTTTAAAGTAGGCTAAGATGAATCTTGCACTAAAATCATTACCTTCAAATTGAAAATTGTGCCTTGAATCCTAAGACCTGTGGGTTATTGGCGCAATAAAGATGGAGCCCTTGTGCGTTGCGACATTGTCCTTGCAATCAATAAATATACTGATGCAGGGAAAAATAAACAGAAAATAAAAAAATAAAAATAAGAGGTTTGAGAGAATATACGCTCTTAGGGTCTGCAAGGGAATCCACCCCAAAGATCTCTTCACAAGATCAAAGAAAATACTTTCTTTACTCAATTCACATATCCCTTACAAAGAAGGGATCTCTTCCCATTAAATACAAACTTTAAAAAAAAAAAAACCCAAAAATTATCTCTCCTGTCTCTCTATCTCCTACATTTCTCTCCTTCTATCTCCCCCCCCCCCCCCCCCCCTTCCTTCTCAACCCAACGTGAGCCCCATAAAAATCTCTCCTTACATCTCTCAAGTCCATTAAAATAGGACTTTTCCCTTTTAGCTCACATTAATCTCATCAATTCCTCTCATACATAACTCCCAACCTTATTTAATAAAGAAAACCCTAACCAACTAACCACTAATCCTATCCAAATCCTTAAAAAAAATGAACTTCTTACTCTACCCCTTAAATCTCTACTGCTAAAAAAGACAAGAATAATGTAATGGAATACTAAAAACCCAAATAACATCCTTTTTTTAATCTAGAAAATATAAAAAATCGAAAAAACCTAATTTTTATTTGCATCATTCTCCCCCAGGTTGGGAGAAGCTCGACCTCAAGCTTACATCCTTCAAAGGTCAATCGAATAATTGGCGAAGAAGTCCCACCATTCTCCTGGGCATTTATCTCCAGTAAACCAATTCATCAAATCCTTTGTGCGGAACATGAAGTAAACCACTGGGATCTCGAGCTTAATCGTGATTTCTTTTTCAAGTTCTTCATAAAACTCCAGAAGATCGACCTTAATACCAAGATCATGTGGATGTTTATCAGACTGCGGTTCTTGAATCACAATATGATTGTTACATTTGAGATCGGCACTTCGAGTCGGTTGTGAGACTAGATTCGTCTCTACATTAGAACTTAGTGTCGGATGGTTGTGAGCACACTCTTCTCGAAAAATAGTATCCTCCAACCTTTGCAATTGATGATTAATTTTACTAATGTCGCTTCGAATATCTTCCACGACTTTGGTTCAACCTTCTAAAATTTGTGGCATGCGATCATCAGAGCAGGATTAGGTTTCAGTGGCACTATGATGATTGGATCTTTTTTGCTCTAATACCACTTGATACAAGGAAAAAAAAAAAAAAGAGGCTTGAGAGAATATACCTTCTCTCAGAATTTGCAATGGAGGCCACCACAAAGATATCTTCACAAGGTCAAAGAAAACTTTTTCTTTACTGAATTCACCATATCCTTTACAAAGAAGGGCCTTTTTCCCTTTAAATAAAAACTTAAAAAAAGAGAATAAAATAAAACCCAAAAACTCTCTCTCTCCTATGTCTCTCTCTATCTTCTACATCTTTTACTCTCTCTCTGTCTCTCCGCCCTTCTTAACCCAACATGAGCCCCATAAAAATCTCTCCCTAAATCTCTCTCCCAGCCCTTCCCAAGCTACCGTTCGTCTCTTTCAAACATATCATTACGATACAAGCCATAAACTGATAAAATTCACCTATGTACTCTACACTCTTTTCTCCCTAATGAAGACTATTCAACTTGTGATAAAGGAATTGTCGATCATTTTTAGGTAGGTATTTTTCCATTAAGTTCCTTTTCATCTTCTTTCAAGAATTAATTTTGGGCTTACCCAGTTTCTCCCTTTTAGCCCTAAGTTGTTCCCGCCATGCCAATGCACCATTTTTCAATATTACAGTAATAAGTTTTAGTTTATTATTTTCAGGAACCTCCTTATAATAAAAAAAACCGTTCTACAGTATTTAACCAATCAATAAACTCCTCGAGTTGAGGCTTACCATTAAAATCAGGTATATCCACCTTCAAATAGACCTGATAAGTTTTGGATCCGAAACCCATGTCCAAGATGGATTTATGAAGGGTGCACTCATTGTAACAAACAAGTGCATCACCTAAACCCTATGACACACACACACACATTAAATATGAGGAGTGATTTCATACACTGGTTTCATGGTATTGTGATGAGACCGCTCCTTCAAAAACCCATGTTAGGGGTATATGCATGATCTCAAATTTTGCTCACACTCTTCATACTAGCGATCAATCTCAAAAAAGAAAAAAAAAAAAATTGAGTACATTTGCACCCTAGAGGAGGTCCAAATGAGTCGTGCGCTAACAATCGATACAAGTGCAGTTCATCTATTTAGTGGACTTAAAAAACCTTAAAAATAAAAAAACATTATATTTAAAATTGTTCATATGACTAATAATAAGGCCATTCACAAAATATGGGGTACAAGAAATCTCCCTGAGGCCAAAATTTAACCATCCCATCAAATGGACATGATACACTTATCGTGCTAAAAAAAAAAACTACTTCTTAGGGAGAGTTTTGAAAATTATATTTTGCTATTGTTCACTAGAAAAAGAAGAATACATGTTTAAAATTTCGGGTCAAATACCATCATCATCATAGCCTTATCCCAACTGTTTGGGTTGACATCTCGGGTCAAAAAACTGCCCTCAAAATGATATTATTTGAAGCAGTTTCATTATATCACTATGAAACGGTTTCACGAAATCACTCCCCCATATGCAAATTCGTGTGTGGGGGTGTGTCTCGCCTTGGGCACTCAAAATCACAATTCTATAAAGGAAGAATATCAAGAACTCATAATTTGTAAATGATACACCAAAAAACTCATCCAAGGGCACAATTCGCCACCTCCACATTCAATCCAATGCATGCATTTAGCATGCATTAAGCCTTATACAACAAAGTCAATGACTGTACCATTATCATTACAACAAATGGGTGGGATGGAACAACTCATCTTCAATTGCTCAAGACTTTTGAAAGTTATAAGAACTCATTTCCAAGGTTCTGATAACCATCTGAATACATGCACTACACATAAAACAACATACACATGATCACAAGAAAATCTGCAGGGGTCTATGCTAAACAAACAATAGATCCATAACCAAAGAAGCATCACCCCTCACCCAGCAGGAAAGAAATACAAAAACAGGAGTACAGTAAGTTCAAGGGCCTTTTCCATATTTTAAGAATCACAATTTAAGCATCCAAAATTGTTCACAATGAACAACATCAACTTTTGAATCAACAAATGATGTAAAGAACGACAATAAAACAAAGCATAAAGCACAAGATGCCATTCAAGGAAATATATAACTTTATATAAAGGAAAAATCTCGATTACAGTGCAGGTTCAGTCTATACTGACCAACTACTCATCTAGCAGAGAGCCAGAAACATATACTAGGGGCACGCAATGAATGGTAGTTCAATTCATCTGATGCTAAAGAATTCATACCAAAATTTTCTAAAATGGAACTACCTGAATAAATGAATTTTCCGAAATGCACATAACAGTTCATTACCAGGAGAGAGTAGTGAGTAAGCTCTGGAATGTCAATAAAATATTGTTTTTGAAATATCCCAATGATTAGAATAGTTTTTGAAACGACGAAAAGAATCAGCCCATCTAGTAGCTCTAAAAAAATTGAAATTGATATACAGAACAATGCTGTGGTAACATCTATTAATCTGAAAAAGGAAAATTATGCGACATACCCATCGAGTTCCACAAGAAGCTGATTTATGAAAGCTTCGTGGTCCTGCTTTTTGGTGTGAATGAACTGTCCACGAACTCCAGCAAAAAGATCGAAATCCTCAACAAAAATTATCACTGGAGCCTACGAAATGGAAATATGCCATTTTTCAGGAAGTGGAATCGAACTATCCATCCCAGATAACAACAACCCAGATCCACATATTTAGAATAGAAAAAACTTGATCAGTCTCATATAATTGAACCACAAAAATATGAAGACAGCTATTTTGAAGAATCCATCATAACCCAGAAGAGACAATTATCTCTGATTTAAATGAAATATTAAAACCAACCAAATCCCTTGCTGTCTGAAATAATTCCCGAACATTCGATGCACTCTGACCAACCCACAGTCCTGCCTCCAATTGTTGAGCTTTGATTTTGACCACAGGAACCTTTGCTTCAGCAGCAATCGCCAATGCTAGTGTCGTCTTACCTGTCCCTCTTTCTCCTACAATCAGCACTCCCTGCAAAACAGGATAGATCAGAGAAATGAACCTCATGAAACTGTGCATTAGCAAATTTACTAAGCATTTATATATAGATCATGAAACTGTGCATTAGCTACTAAGCATTTACATATAGAACTACAATTATCTCAAAACTACAATTATTTCAAAATTTATATAGCCAAATTACAAGCACATAATTCTAATACAGTGTAACCAATAAGGAAACATGTCCAAGAGGTCTGCCATGTTGCAATGAAATACCTTTTGTTTTAATTGGCATTAAAGAGAAGGAAACTCAAAAGGTAAAATTCAAAACATCTCTAGTAGAAAAGGAATGTGACTTATAAATGATAAAAGAATGCAAACCACTAAGAAAATCTAACATGAAGGAAAACCACAGTCGATCAAAAAATTTGTCAAAGGGAACATCATACCCGTGGAGCCTGTGCACCCAGTTCCTGAAAAGCCTTGGGATTTTGCAGAAATGCCACAATTTCATTAATTTCTTCTCTCATAGAATCGATGCTAGCAAAGTCCCTCAGACGCATTGGTGGATTCTTCACCCTCTACAAAGGAGATATTGATTTCCTTTACTAGTTTAGAAGACTTGTAAGCCAAAGAAATAGTTCCTTCTACAGAATAAAATGAATTAAGAAAACCAATAAAGAATTTAAACCTTCATCTGGTCAAAAGCAGATTTAATTGGATCAATACCCCTTTTCTTCCTTCGAATCCTTCTCTTCTCCTTAAATTTAAAATAAGCTTTCTGCGAGAACAGCAAGAATCCCATTATAGAGCATTGAAGTGCCTACATGGAAAACTTTAAAACTAAAAGTCTTGTTAAAACTTGGAAGGACAATAATTTCGTGCATGAAGAGCCCAAAAAAAAAAAAAAAACTAACAGAAGCAAGATACGGCCAACACATTAATCTCAGTAGTAATATAGCAAAATAATAGATTATTACTAGACCAAATAAACATAATTTCCATGGTGGCAGAATCCCCAAAGCATAAACTTCGTCAAGGGAAACAAAAGGGCCTGAACAATACAGAAGAAGGATGCATCTAACTCAATACAGTTGAACATAATACTAGAATGATGATTTACAGGTCTTCATGAGATTATGCAAAACTGTGTGAGAATCACAGATTCAATAATTACCTAATGACAAACACTAAAATAGCATCAGGAGCAAGACCTTACCACTCTCCTCAATTTTCTCATATTAGGATCCCTGCTGCGGAGAGGTCCAAAACCAAGGAGTTTGATGACCGTCTTCTTTAGGTAGTGGAGAACATGAACTAGTATGTATACATAAATGATGCTTCTGATAAAAAACCAAAGATACCATTGAAAACTATCCATCTTCCTGGCATTGAAATTTGCCTCAGCCACTGATTGCCACCTTAGGTACCCAGTTGAACCTGCTGCTTCATATACATCCTCTGGCCATGCCATCCCGAAATTAATTCTAATCTGTGAATAAAATTATAAAATGATATTAAGCAATTAAGCATGCAAATTTTTCCTTTGAACTCAATGGATGAAAATGCTCAAGGAAGGGAAAACCAATGGAGAGTGTGCATGATAATACAAATATCATTGAAGTGAAAGGTTTAATGTGTTTATTAGTCCCAGACCTGTTTTGGAATTATGAGGTCCACAAGGGGAAAGCCAATCATGACCATAATATCATCGTTTATGTTTTTGATATTTCTAAAGCACCACTCTCTAACATTTACTACTCCTTGAGAATTCCAAAATCCAACTATACATTCATAAAACAGCTTTCCTAACAAGGCAAATTGCTGACGGATATCCAACTCAGAAAATGGAATCCACATTAACTGAACCACAGTTGGAATACCAGAAGCAAGCATTTTCAAATAAAGCCCATCAAAGCCTCCAAAGTCTTCAAAGAGCATGTCATATTCCTGCATAATTTAGCAAACTGCTCATTAGTGGTTTGGCAATTCTAGAAGTAGATATAGTGTTCAGAGAAATAAATAACTAGATGAAGATTGTACTCTCTTAAATGAGATATCTAGGTATGTGAAAATGCCTGCTGTTCATCTGAGTACTACAAAGACAATAGGTACATGAATCTGACCTTGATATCAACAAAATACTCCTCGTCATCATTCTTGAGTGCAACATACAAGACACCCCAATCATGCCTTATGCGAACATGCTTGACTAGTTTCTTGGAAACAGCATAAGGAACAGAAATTGGATCCATTTCCCATCGCTTCTTCTCTTCATTATACCATGTCTTCGCCACCACCCTATCTCGGTCCGAAAGTAAACGCTCCTGGCAAGACAACATATACATAAACTAAGGCAACATCATTGCAATTCTGCACCCTCAATGCAAATGGATGTATACATCTCCCTTCAATGCATTGTTAGCCGCAACTTCTAAATAAATAAATAACAAAATAACCCTTGCAAGACTGACTGCAGAAACTATTAATCACTTTTATCTTGCCACCATTAAAAAGCAGAAATTAACATAAAGTTTCATTGTTCAATTATACAAAATAACCAACTAATAGAAGCCACCATTAAAAAATTGGGTCGATCGAGCAAACCTCAGAGAGTTGTATTAAGACACAAGAAGATAATTGTTAATATTGCAGTAACAATAAACTCATCAGCAAAAAATGAGAAAAGGCCAACCATTTGATGAAAACAGATGCAACGAAATATAGGAACATTCCCTGAGGAGTACAGATTCATTGAAATCTTTGTAAAACACTTTTAAGGATATGTTTCCTAGCTAAAATTTTGATAGATATACCTCCTTTTTGTAACTTTTACATCCCAAACAGATTTTTAACTAGCTCTTATACATGTATCTTACCGAAAATCACTAGAATCATCAATAGAAAAAAAGATAGGCTTCCCATTGAACAATAAGATGAATTTTCTCCTAGTTTGAGGAGTAGGGAATATAGAAAAATGTTACGACACTTTGTTTAGCTAAATACAAATAACAAAGCAATAGAATACAAAGTGTAGTTTGTACAATCTAAGGACTAGGAAAATCCGCAATTAAAACCCACCAGAAAACCACTAATAGTAAAAGAAAGAAATTAAAAGAAGAATTCACCTGTTTCTGAGCTACATACTCTTTACCATAATCAGTATTATCCATCATATTTCGTTTCACATTTTCTTTGAATTCTTCACGCCATTTTTGCCATCCATGATATAGTTGAAGACGGACTGCTTTGGGAACAATAACCTCTTTATCTCCAAACTTCCACTTCAATTCTACTTCTGGAAAACCCTTCACAACCTCTTCAGCAGGTGAACTAACGAGGAAACGCTTCTCCTCTCCATAGCTCTTTGTTTTCTTCCTTACCGAGACATCCAGGTTTCTCTGCATCTCCCGTGACTCTTGAATGGCTTTGGTTACATTTAAAACAAAATCTTTAGTACTTTGGTTCAAGAAATGACTAGGATCTTCAATATCCAAAATCATTGGCAAGAATGTCTGCTCCCAAACTTCGTTCTTTGCAGATTCAAGATCTTTTCTAATATCTTGTATAGACAATCTACTCTTATTATTTTTGGACAAACTGAAATCATAGAAACAATCAACAGCAGGATTGCTTCAGTTTCAATCCATTAAATTATTATAATACAAAATCAAGTCAATGAAAATGAAATAAAACATCAAAGAAAAAGAGAAGTAATAATCATCAGAAGTATGACTGCATAAAACAGCTTGATAATGTCTATATGGTTATGAAATTGAAATAAAGACCTTAGGTTTTGTACAACTACCGCTCATTTGCATAGACCAAAAAATTGCCCAGACAGTTAATATACCCATAATAATTCCATTTAATAGCACAACATAACCTACTGCAGCTGCTTCTATATGTGATCCTATTTGGCAGTTTATCTTTCGGTACGCATCAACTCCTTAACACTAAGGAAGCATTATTCGACACATTCGAAAAGTTGTGCCTTTTGGTCAAACTAGTAATGCACGAACCAACAATCAGGAAGTCATTCTTGACCCTCACTCTTTCAGAGGGTAAGATGTACAAAATGGTAAAAAAGGACAAATTATCTAATGTGAAGAGAAAAATTTATATCTAATTATAAGAATATTAGACCGCATCCTTTGCCAAACACCCCGAAAGAATTTATATGCTTGAACATCTAGTTAAGAGCATGAGCATATTATCTAGGCATTATATATGAAACTGACAAGGAAATGGGCGAATGAAATCATATAACAAATTAACAAAAACAGAAAAAGAATTTCTCAAAAAAACCAAAAAAGAAAAAGAAGCAAGCAAACCCAATAGAAAGCAGATAAAATCTGTTGCTTGCCTTTCATAAATATCCTGCTTCCACTGTGAAAAAAAATTTTCCACTAAAAGCCCACTTTCTCTCTCAATAAATGAGAGCTCTCGAATCACAATGCTATACATCCTTGTCTCCTTCCTCTCTATCTCATCTTCAACCTCTAAGACCTTTTGCCACACATCATTGTAATCCATTTCAGCTTTATTCATGGTGTTATCAAGCTCGTCTACCCTCTCCTTTACCTCTGGTTCTTCATCTACCCTCAAAACTAGCGTCTCTTTCTCTCTCTTTGAAGACCAATACACATCTGCAATGTTCTCAGATTGCTTAATCAATGCAGCTTTGTTTCTCTTCAGCTTACTCAAATCTGCATTCAAAACGTCCAAAACTTCATCATAAAGTTCTCGACGTTTATCCTTCACCCTCTTTAATGCCTCCTTAACATTCTGTATTAGAATATTTGCTTCCACTCCATTTCTATCTCCTATAAATTCTCTAGCCTCTTTTACTCTCTGTAAAAGTACAGAAACCACTTCTAGCAATCTTTGTGTGTAATCAGAGAATTCATGAGAACGAGAAACCTCTCTCTCAGTCACCATTGCCGGAGCTGCAAAGGCTTGCTTCTGAAGCATCTTCTGAGGTAAAAAACCAATGACGAAGCAAAATAGAGCCAAAGCCAGTGATTTTTGAACTAATTCTAGCCATGAATTACATTTTCTCAGGGATTTTTCCTGATCTCTATTGAGGTACGGCAATCTCCCAAGTGAAAATAAACAATCTGATTCGTTATTTCTTTCATTTGAGCTATAACACCTTGTTCTACATGATTTTAGTAGAATTAACGGAAATTTACAGTGTTTTGGAGACGTATCCCCAAAATGATGGACGTTGCGCTTTAGAGAGAGAGAATCCTTTCGAGAGACAATTTTTCCCTCTGAACAGAACGAATCCTCTTTGAAAATTCAAAGGAAATGGATAACATTTACAATGAACAGGGAAAGTTTGGGTTGCAGAGACTACACGTGGGCTACAACAGGGTATCTCCATGGATGAGAGTGAAACTTAGGGTTCCCAAACTTACAAAGAAGATTGATACCATGATATATCCATGGCCAAGGCCCAAATTAGGATCTTTGAAGTCAGAAAGAGCTTCTGGAAAAGGGTGTCTCCATGGTTAGAGCCGAAAAATAGAGTTCCTAGATAGAGAGAACCAGTCAAGGGGAAAGCCCCATAGAAGAGCGAGAAAACTAGGGTTTATGTGAGAGAGAGTTTAGGGTTTTAGAAAACAGCATTTTCTTACTCACTGAACATAGGAGGAGATCCAAAGCCTCCCCCCCCTCCCATGAAGCAGAGCTATCCAAATGCTTTCTTCGCAATTTACAGTCTGAGAAAGTATAGGATGAGAACATTTACCTTGATACAAAGCGCCCATTGGATGTAAAATTGGGTAGTCACAATTATTTGATTGATCAGGTTCAAACTTCAAAAGCAATTTAAACTATTAAATTTCACCTCACATGGTAAATTTCACATCACATCACATCAAATGGTTATAATAAATTGTGACCACCTTACAGTTATTTGTATTTATTTTGTTGTTTCAGAAAATATGTACGATTTATTGTAACAATAGTCACACTATGTAATCTCCGCCCAATTGTGCCATTCAACGGTTTCGATGGCCTCACAAAAATATTAATTTCAATTTACCGCCCCGCAGCGGGAGGTGAACTTGAAGATACAATACTGGTTATGTATACTGGAATGAAGCATGCCTCAATAGTTGATTCTCCCTCACCAATCAATCTATTGATTGGACGGTGATAAAGAGCATGTCATTAAAATCACAGTATATTAACATTTTTTAAATTAATTATTTTATTATATATTTTAAACGGATGAGGTTTGTATTAGGTGCCTTCGAGATGTAGTTCTAGTATCAAAAATTTTATAATGGCTTAAAATATATTTTCATCAATGGTTATGAGATTTATAGTACCAAAATTTGGAAATATCGAACATATCCATAAGTACTTGAATGTAGACGCTCCAAATAATTTGTTACAAGATGCAATTATTTTTAATACTTGAAATCCTTTTTTCCTTCACATTCATATATCTTGAAATTGAGTAGACCTTATTGGAGGGTTTTAAAACTTCAAAACACTTTTTTGGATGCACCTTATCACAATAGTATGAGGATGATACCTTGTATAAACTTTTTCCACTTACAAACTGATTCATAATTTGAAGGAACAACATTGATCATGTGGTTTAGCACCATCCAAGTAACTAATGTTGATGGATAGAAAAAGTAGCCCATAAAATTAATTGGGACCCAATTCCTACCACAATCTAACGAAAATCTATTACATATTTGTTTCACTTGAAAATATTTCACGTGAAAAATTCGTCATGTGGCTAGATGTGAAAATATTTTCACACTAATTGATCCCAATGCATCTTTTTATACCAATTAACAGCTACTTAGTATGAAAATATTTCTACACCTAACCACATTAAGGAAATATTTCCAAGCGAACCAAATGTGTTAATGAAATAGTGACAAACACATGGTCATGGGATCATTACGACCATACGATTATCATGCCCATATGGATTATGGTAGAAGTGCCCCTTGTTCTGTCTGTTGGAAGAGCTAAAATTGGGAAGAGGAGGCACTATCATTATCATCTTCTTTTGACACCCCCAAATTATTAAAGGTTAAGAAACCATTTGTACCTTGTTCGAAAATCATCCAGGTGGTCCCATGAACCCATTTAACACTGGAGATCCAGTTTCGAAGTTCATTTCACCTAGGTAATTATAAAAATCAAAAAAATAAAAAAACCCAAATTGCCCCAATTCAAGGTGGAATCTCGAACAAAGGCAACCAAGCAGCCGAATCTGGATAACATGAGTACCATGCTTGTATAGGGTTTGCAAGTCGGGAACGTATTTTGCATACTAAAATCTCTTTTTCAATGTTCCTATTTGGCTCATGCCAAGGCGGCACAAGCCAAATGTACAACGTACCCTCACTTATTTCCAAACACATATTTTCAGTCCATATGTTTGTTTGGATTGCAAACCTTGAACATAAGGGGTAATTTCATCCTTATGCTCAAATTATGTGACTCAAGAAAATCGACAATTGTTTCCTAATTATTCAAGGTTAATAAATGAATTGTACCATCGAACAAAATCATTAAGGTGGTCACATGAAACCAATTAACACCAAAATATCTGCTTTTTAAGTGTTATTTCACTAAAGTAACTCCTCAAAAGAAAAAAAATAAAATAAAATAAAACTAAATAGCCCTTTCTCAAGGTGGGCAATATTGAACAACGGCATCCAAGCAACTGGAGCCAAATGACGTACCTTGCTTGTACAGGGCTACAAATCAAAAACATACTTGCATGGTAATCTCTTTTTCATGGCTCCTAATGTAGAGCAATTAGGGGTAATTACATTATTTGGCTCATGCCAAGGCAAGCACAAGCCAAATGATCTATGTATCGTAAATTATTCAAGCTTAAGAATTCGACACACAAATTTTCATTGCATATCCATGCCAAGGTTACTATCCTTGAACAAAAAGGGTTAATTTCATCCTTATGGTCGTCAAATTAAGCGAACCCACAATTATATCCACAATTATTCAAGGTTAAGAAACTTGTACCATCTCACAAAATCAGTAAGTGGTCACATGAACCCTTAGAATGGCCGTATTCCAACTTTCATTCCACTTATGTAGTTCAAAAAATAAAAGAGCGTAAAAAATACCCAAATTACCCCTACTCAAAGTTGAAAATATTGAACGAGGCACTTACTCTATCCTTTTCTAGTGCTACAAATCCATAACATTTGTACTATTTTTAAAGCTTCAAAATTCATGAACCAAAATAGATTTTTAAAACACAGAATTTTAGTGATCAAGGGTATACCAATCAACTACTTTTACACTCAATTTTACTTCCCAAGGTAAAGGCTTACATCACCAAAGCTAACTCCAATTGCCCAAAAACAAAAAAACATAAAAAAGTGCACTAATTCCAAAAAAGTGCACTGTTTGTTAGTCGGGAATCGTATTTTCCTCGTATAAGGCTTCTATGAATCCCCCGCCCCACCTAACCTATTTAGACGAGTCTTCGCTCCAAAATCAAATTTTCAATTTAAATTTTTAAAAATCTAAAGAATGATGCGTATGGATTTGCAAAAAAAAAAAAAAAGGTTTTTAGAAATTTTTTTAGAATTTTAATAATATTTTAGCACGTTTAATTTTGAATTTGAGTAGGCCATCATTCGTTGACATCCATCTACAAGATGGATTTTGAATGTGCATCCCCTTGCACATCTACTTTTCTATTAATTAAAGAAAAGTTAAAATAAAGACAAGGCTTTATATATATATATATATATATATATATATATATATAC